CAACTGTCATGATATGAATGCAATTTATTCAGCACTAATAATTTTAGTGCTGTGCAAATCTAAGATAGTCCTCAGAGGTTTTCCTTTGAATCACTTGTCTGCAGAGACTAAATGCAGAAGGTCCGTTATGAACAGGAAATGTATATAGTGATGGTGCTTGTGTATTTGCATATGCTGTACACTATCCAGATTACACTGTATACTTTTTTAAAAAAAAGTCATCTATGTAACATGATTTACAAATCCATTTATAAGAGTGGAGAGATGTTGAAGATATATACTGTTTTATTACCCACTAACAAGTCTTTGTTACTGTGTAGCTGAAGTTTATTTCTGTAAGGTTTAAATGAAAATCGGTTTTGAAATTTGTTTTCTTGACATCAGGAGCCATAAAATCCATATGGTTCATATTTAATATTTATAGGTTCAATGTATTCCATTTATATATAGATTTATATAAATATTTAAAATGCATACAGCTGATATTTCTAATTATTGGCTTTTTATTAACTTTGATTTTGCTTCTTCATCTTGAAATGGATTGTAAACCTCCATGGGGAAAGAGTGTGCTTTTTTTTTTAAATAAAATAAATTTAAAAAATAAATCATTGAAGGTCTTTACAATGATGTTTTGCCTTATCACAGCTGCACATCTGAGTGAGATTTCTGTCCCAATATATGTCTAAGGTTCTGAAACTATGACCAAAAGAGCAAAAGAGGATTCCAGGGGTTTCCTCCAATTTTATTCAAAACATACAATAGTGAAAACAATTTCACCTCTTCATGTTTTGCAAATATAACTTAATACTTTCTAATTACTTTGCATGTTAATGCAAAGTTTCTTTTCCCCGTTCCAGTTAAAATACATTTTAAAATACAAGTGATTTTTTTCTGAACTTCAGCATTCAGTTCTAGTCAACTCTAAGCATGCAAATGTGCACAAATTATAATAAAACCTTAGCACATATGTGCACTGTCCTAATTCTCTCCCTACCTATTCTTTCCAATTCTAGAGTTCAGAAAAGTGGCATTTTTCCATTCTTTCACTCCCAGTCAGACCAAGTGTCAAATACTTTCAATCTAGCTGGTAATCTTTGACAAGTGAAACTTCTGATTTTCTTCTCATTCACGATTCTTATTCCACTGAGATCTTCAGTAATGAAATGATCCCATATCGATATTATCTTCAGTATGTTTTCCCCACATTGTTGCCTGAAGCACTTCGGGGACTTCAGGCCATTCATGAACCAATGAGCACATTGCTCAATATATATTTTTTAAAAATCACTAGTAACCTTTCTCAGGATTCTTTGCTCTTTGTTACAAGTGGGTGTGTTTTAGTGTGTGTTTACATTTTTAAATATACCCATTAACTCATAAATTTTGCAGACACAGCAGTCTCATTTTTGCTCTTTTACAGATGCTGGATGCAATTACAACTTGATATGAAATAAACAAAGCAGCATTTTAAAAATATGAGAAAAAAATGAAAAATACACAGACACACACACACAAATCTTGCTATCTAGTTCAATTATTATTATTATTAATAATAATAATAATAATAGTAATAATAATAATAGCAAATAGTAGTTTGCCAATGCCCTTGTAAGGTGATGAACATTTACAAAACAAAACAATAAAACTTAAAAAGCTTATAACTATGAACATTTAAAATAGATATGTTACGCTTATAGACTTGATGTCTTGAGATGACAAATATAGTACTCTTCCTGTTTCCATCCAACAACCCTGTTTGGTAGATAAGGTTGAGAAAGTAACTGGCATGAAGTCAACTGTGAGCTTCTATGACTAGACTAGCAGCTGGGTGCCCCAGGCCCAGTCTAACACCTTAACCACGACATCCCACTAGTTTTTTTCTGACAAGAAAAGGTGGCATGGATGAAAGCGATGACATGGATCGGGATCTGGACATCAAATATCTGGAAAATATTTTCAGAAATTAAACTGTTTACAGAATTTTTATGGGGTTCTTTACAGAAAATGCAATTACCAATTAATGACAGAGGATTTGGTTTTCTGAATCTGGAGCTATATCATCAAGCTTACATAGTTCAATATTATATACTGGAAGCTAAGTGATGTTAATTTTCCAATTTGGACAACTTTCAAATCCATCCATCCATCCATCCATCTATCTCCTTTGGTTGGATGAACAGTATAAGTATTCTCCAAAGCGCCTGAAGGCAGGACAAGAAGCAACGGGTGGAAACTAACCAAAGAGAGAAGCAACCTAGAACTAAGGAGAAACTTCCTGACAGTTAGAACAATTAACCAGTGGAACAACCTGCCTCCAGAAGTGGTGAATGCTCCAACACTGGAGGTTTTTAAGAAGAGACTGGACAGTCATTTGTCCGAAATGGTATAGGGTTTCCTGCCTGAGCAGGGGGTTGGACTAGATGACCTCCGAGGTCCCTTCCAACTTTATTATTATTATTATTATTATTATTATTATTATTATTATTATTATTATTACTACTACTACTACTATCTCCAGAAACAATTATATCAGTTAGAAAGTTATGGGATGAAATACCTAATAAAAATCCTTTTCCAATCCTTTTTCCCATGCTCAATTGACTTTATGGGGAAATCTGCTTTACTAAAGTACTTAAAACTTAACGTAAGTCATCTGGACTGCAAACCTAACTTTTTTGCAGCCCATATTTGGTAGCTGTAAAAACTATATACAACATTTTTTCTATATTCCCTGCATAGTCATCTGTCTCTTCAATATTACTGCCTATCTGTCTCTAATTCTCTTCCTGTGGGCAGTGTTTATCAGAGGACTGCTGTATGCACCTCATTTTGGTGCTAATGCTTTCAAGCTTGAGTTAAAGAAGCAAATCTTAACAGAGTGGTTTGTCATAAAGGACCTGTTAGAGATAGTCCTTGACTTACGTCCACAACTGAGCCAAAAATTTATGTTGTTAAGACATTTGTCAAGTGAGTTTTACCTCATTTTATGACCTTTATGACCTTTCTAGCCACAGTTGTTACATTAATCCCTGCAGTTGTTAAGTTAGTAACACAGCTGTCAAGTTAATCTGGCTTCCGCATTGATTTTGCTTGTCAGAAGGTGGCAAAAGGGGATCACATGATCTGGAGATACTACAACTGTCATAAATATGAACCGGTTGCCAAGTGTCCGAATTCTGATCACATGACTGCTGCAACGGTTGTGTGAAAAATGGCCACTTTTTTCAGTGCTGTAACTTTGAACCGTCACTAAACGAACTATTGTAAGTCGAGGACAACCTGTATTGTATGCTCCTCCAAAAGAGGATCAACAAATCTGGCAAAATGATCTTTACTGACCCGAATGGAACAAAACTTACTGCCAAAGAGAGAGGCCCCCTCTCTTCAACATGCCTTCTGGATGCTCCAGATATTGGAGTCTCTTTCAGAAATTTAAGATGCAGGGAAAACAATAAGGAGAAATTGACACATAAAGTAGTTTGCTCATATGGATAGGAAGAGATGCAGGAGATGGAAACAAGTATAGGGGGATCCAAGACGTTTATTTCTTGGCACCAATATGTTTAATTGTCAATATATTTTACTAGTATATACATTAACAAGAACACACCTTAAATACAACAAAACTACAACCTTGAAATGTTAAAGGAGTTAGCAAAACAATAAATAAGGACAAATTGTACATCTTTTTTTCCTAATATATGCAGTACTAGGTGCAAGAAACAGTAATCAGTTGGTATTAATTTAAACTGGAAAGGTAACTAACTGCAACGAGACTGTGCCATTTTTCCTGCTCAGCTTGGAGTGCAAGAGCTAGATAAGAATTTAAAAACACAAAGGGAAACACTATGCATACAAATGACTTTAAATGTTGCAACAGAAAAAAAAAACCCAACAGGTCGAATAAAAGCTTTAGCCCAACTTGACTAATTAAATATGAGTCTCTTGAATTCTGATTTTTGACAGGGCTGTGCAAAGCCTTTGCAAGTGGCGATCCACAACACAGAGCGTCTCTTTTTGAATTGTTAAGGCAAGATGAGACATTTTCAAAGTTTTGGGATGCCTTGAAAGCCACCTTCAGCTAACTCCCTCCTGCATCCCATGAAGCTGCTTCAGTGTGCTATGAAGAAAACGAAGTAAAAGAGGAGCTTCATCAGTAGCCTGGCTCTAGAACAAAGGCTGTGTTAACAATCCAGACTCACCTCTTGCAAAGGCTTTGCACAGACCTCATCTGTAAACAAGTGAGGGCAGATGCTGCACCTGGAAAGCTGAAAGATATTTACCTGTGATGCCATGCTCTTCTTTTGCCAAGAAAAGCCAGAGCCCCTTCCATGCTTACTGATAGTCCCCATAATCCAGGGTCACTGAATATCCTAGGAACAGGTGTTCAACATCATCCAGCAGGTCACTACTTTCCCGCATCCATGGAAGCACCACTACATATTCTTTCCCCTTGCCACGGTAAACACCACTCCTAACTCTGTGCCAAATCTAGAATGTTGCTTTTGAAAAGAACTAGAATATTTTGGTTTTAAATCTAGTAAACTACCAGCTATGTACTTATATTGCCTAAGTAAATTTTGTGTTGTGGTGTTCAAAAGTGAACAGCTTTTCTTTTAGAAGGTTGTTATTCTTCCCTCACGTTCATTCTTTTTCCTGTACCCGCCCTTTGCTCCATATGCATCATCAATTGCGTCTTTGTTGACACTGAGATATGTTCAACTGAGATTAAAAAAGCAGAGATCATCTATAGCAATCAGGTGCAATCTATAAGAATCAATAACAGCTACTGAAAATCCTGTTACCAAAGTATAATCTAAATTCTTTTTGTTCAGAGCATTTACTATCCTAGCTTTTAAAATGCAAATCACAGTATGTCAGATTAAAATTAATTTTTCAAATATATACAATTAACAGGTGTCTCCAGGACTCTCAATGTGACATAAAAATGTAAATAAAATACATTTGTGGATAGCAGCAGCGTATCTTCATAAATAAAATATTGGATTGAAACTAGTTGGGATCAACCAAATATGCTGAATGATGAAAAAGTATGATGCTTCAGTTCTTTAAAACCCTTGTTGAATTGTAATGACATTAGCATCAACATCATTAAAATAGCTCCTGAGAAAAAGCCTGCAAGTGTGAACCAAATTTCCAAGATTTCCACTACAATTTAAGGCTTTTGTGTTTAATTTGGGAATTCTGTGGGTGCCACTTAATAGCGTCACGGGAGTAGGGCTCCTATGAACTTTATGTTATTGAGGTCTGATCTAGGAAGAGCAGATACAAACACATTAAATTCCCAACACTACTGCATGCCAGTGTCTCAGTGCTCAGTAAATACAGCATCCCTTGGTTTAGCTGTTGTCATTCTGAATCTGCAGTTCCTCCCCAGAAATGTTTGTGCAACACCAAAGTTATTTCCTAAACTCTCTTACTCTTTTCAAATGTTAGTGTTATAAATGAAAAAGCATGTTCCTTTAGAGTTACATTGCCTTTAAAATTATCTCTGTGAGCTTCTTCTTATAAATCAAACATCCATACTTGAAGTAGACTGTGTTACTTGCCACAATGGAAATCTCAAGGATTCCTTTATTTCCGCCATCCACCCAAGAGAAAACCAACACCACTATTTTATAACAGTCCATCTTTTCATATTACCAAATATATGCATATATGCTAAAGAAAAGTAGAAATTCTCCTATAGATATGGTAGAAGATGCCCAAGAGGCATGAAGAATTTCCAGATTTTGTAACAATGGTTAACTACTATTTGTATGTAAAAAAACAGAAATCTGTAGCTGTGCAAACAGGGAGTAATGTCTATAGCAAATGGCAACAGACAAAGAAAAGATATATGTCAGGCTATAGAAATCTGTTTGTTTACTTATAATATGGCTAATATGTTTAAAATTTAGACACATGTATCATCTTTTCCACTGAATACATACCAATCTAAAACACAAAGATATCCCCAATAGCTGCTTTTGCACAATGCCTAGTGGAATTCATAACAATGACAAGTTTCCCCACACTGTTGAATCTGAATTAATACATTAGCATAACAGAAGATGTAAGAGTAACCCAACAGTAAGCAAAACTGTTTTCTTATGGTCTTGGGAAACAACCGCAGGCTGATAATATTGGGCCAGATGTTAAGCCTCACAAGCATTTTCTTTACTAAAATCTAAAACTGTTTTGGCCTACTGAAGCAGCGAATCAATCACAGCTCCTGATTTTGCAGAGCGTTTCCTGTTTGGAAAGAAGATGGTGCATATTAGTCAAATCAAGAAATAGACAATGCATTCATATATACAAAAGAAACAGCCAAGGACAAAAAGCAATATGATCATGACAAAGCATTAAAAATGAATCTACATTCACAGAAGAGTCAACGATACCGATTTTACATATTATACAAAAGGAAAGTCATGACCAATGGCATGAGTGGACTTGGGGGGGGGAGTGAAGTAGCAGAATGGGAGATATAAATCACTTTAATTGGAGGCCGTAATAGGCAATAAATGAGTTGTTTCAAGAGATGCAGGAGGGAGTTTCTGACCTAACTCTAGGCAAGACATCCATCACATACTCCTGATTGAAACTTCATGGGATCCTCTAGAAGCTTTGTTTTTTACTAATGACTTGTGTAAAGAGTAATAGGTTTGATTGAGGCAATGTTCTGCCCCCCCAGTACTTATAGAAGTGTAGATCAATAAATGCAAAATATTCCATTAAACTGATAAGTGATTCAGGATTATTATGTAAGGATTTGTTGGCTCTACTATGCAAACAAAATAGGACCGCCCATATACATGTGTCCAGGGAGATATAGAGTTCTTAATATACCAATTGGAGGGGGGAGAAAGTTCCTTTTGTTTGCATACAGTCTTAAATATCTCAACTCCTTTTAAATTTGAAGCTGGGCACAAAACAGTATTTCACAGCGGTTCTAACCTTCTGCCAGTTTTGGGCCTTGATCTTCCTTTTGATGTTCTTGGTCTTTCTAGTTTCATCAAAGACTGTCTCAAGCTCTCTTCAGTGTAAGCTAGATATACATGGGAAAGGTCCACCTCAAAGGGCTGAGGGGAGGAAAAAGTGAACACGATGAGTAAACGTTCATGGATCATGCCAAAGTATTCTTATCAAAATCAAAACATTTATAAAAGATAGCTGCAAAGCTGAAAACTGGACTTCAACAACACACATCTGCAAAGGCTGCACTTACATCTTTTTCTTTCTTATCTGCCACTGGAGTCTGTTTTCTCATGTTATTTCCGGTATATGCCACACATTTCTTAAAGACAAAAAAAAAAGTATTAGACATTTCAAAACTAATTGTGTTCTACTGTTGGCTTTTATCACAGTGAGGCGTGATCTCACCAATGTAAGGTGAGGGCATTTTTGTCTTTGCTTCAACCCATATATGTTACTAAAGATGAAATGTAGCTCCAACAAATTTCCAAATAAACATGTAGATGACAATTGTATAAGAAAAAGGCATTCCTTTAAAAAAACAACCAGATAATGTTTTAAATATATAATGAAAGTCTATTAACATCACCATTGGCAGTTGTACCAGCAACAGACTAAGGGGAGGCTTCGTAAATTAATACAAGGAGCATAAGAGTCAGATTCTGCAGAATTGATTATTTTGGTATCAAAAGTAAGCTCACATACCAGCTGCCATTCTCCAATGTCTTCATTCCAGTGAACATAGTTCTCAATCATTTCCTGGAGAGGAATCACGAAAAACAAAAAAAAAGAGAGGCCATTTTACCATTAAATAAAGTAGATTCAGAAGCAAACAGGTACAGTATTGTCCCAGGAAAGTTTTTCTAACTGGGCTGAGCTCTGATTTATATTCTTCTGTTCCTGATAAATTATACCCAACTTCTCACTGCTAAAGTACAGTGCCTCTGCCTTTTCCAGTCTGAACACCTATCAAATGTGCAGAGTTCAGTTCTCAGAATTCTCCAGCCAGTATGGTTCTCTGGAGGGATTCCAGGTTGAGAAGCTGTCTAATGTAAGATAAATAAAGGAATTAAGAACAACAAAGGACTCATTTAGCCCTGTATTTAGAATGTTATCGTGGAAGCTTACAAATGTGATAGCTTTAGACCTCAGTACCCATCTTGTGACCTCGGAGAGCCAATTTGATACAGTGGTTAAAAACTGGGAGATTATATGCCCCATCTTAGGCATGAAGTCATTAGGGTGATTTTGGGCCAGTCATTCTCTCAGCCAAGAAGAAGGCAAAGGCAAACATCTCCAGAAAATGTTGCCAGGAAAACTGCAGGGATTTGTCCAGGCCACACCAGGAGTCAAGAGTGACTTGAAGTCACATACATTTTTGGCCTCCAGCTACTGATATTCAGTGCAGTTTAAATTTGGATACTCAAGTGTTGCCATCATAACGATCAGCCTAGGACAGAGGTGGCGAACTTATGACATGTGTGCCAGAGGCGGCACTCAGACCCCTCTCTGTGGGCACACAGGCCATGCCCCGGAGATGACAACCGTCCTTCTTCAACCAGCTGCCCACTAACTCGCCGAGGTCCCACATGGCTGGATGCATCCCAGCACCCATGTGCTGGCTGGCCTCTGTATGCAGGGGCCGATGGTGTCAGGCTGCAGCCACCCTGGCCCCTGCCTCACCTTGCCCTATGACAATGGCACCCCTGCCCTGCCTCGTCTCACCCCGCAGGACGAGCCTCCTGCCCACCTGCCAGAGACCCCCTGGATCTCCCCCAACCCTGTCCAGCCCCCACAAGCGTCCCTCCCCACGAGCAACATTGAGGTGATCACGCCCACCTTGGCCAAACCCACCCAATCTGCCATGACCACCACAGCCACGCCCATCCAGTAGCCCACGCCCACCTGGCACCCGGCAATAAATAAGTGGGTTTTGGGTTGCAGTTTGGGCACTCGGACTCTAAAAGGTTCGCCATCACTGGCCGAGGACTCAGTTTCATGCAATCAAAGTATCAATTTACACTGGAGAAAATATGTGGGAAGTATCACACCGTCTGTTCCTTTATAAAATATCTGGTCTTCAAATATGATAAGGGCAGCAAAGGAGTTGTTCCAGCAAACAGCTTCTTTAAAATAAGCATTTGTTCTGGCTCACCACTGAGAAGCAGATCCTAACTTACTAGCTAATCATAGATTAGAGCTACTGTGTTAGAGCTACTGTCAGGCACAGGAAATCAGGAATAGATAGAATTCTAAAGCACTACAAGTTTATTTCATGCTACCTATTCACAAGAATCTTTTTTCCTCAGAAATTTTAGTTTATTCAAACTAAAATACAAATTGCGAAAATATTTAAAAAATCTGATCCACTAATAGTTAAGACAAATTGGCACCAGATAAGAGTCAACAGACTTGAAAGAAGGCTGGACTTAGCTCCCTTACTGGGGTGTATTGACTCCAAATTGATGATGCGTTTGATCCCACCCTCAAGCTCAGCTAGATCATTGCCAGATCTCTTTTTCCCCATGTGTAAGGTCATGCTAGCATAAACTTCATGCTAGCATAAACAGCTGGAGGAAGAGGTGATTTTTTTTTCTTTTGCCTGCCTCTATTCCAAAAATAAATTAAATTAAACCATTGGACTTAAACTGCCACTGCTTAATCTCTCAAAACCATCAGAAATGTTTCACCTGGTAATCCTGAGGTATAAAGTTGTCAATTATAAGCATTTGAAGACGAAGCTCTCGGCTGAGCTGTCGAATGTTCTCCAGTAAACCTTCAATTTCTCTTTGATGCTCTTGTTGCAGATCTGCCATCTACAAATATAAACCAAACCAAACCATACCATTGTGAAGATCTAGAATATTTTTTAAAATATTTAACAATGATATTTAAAAATTATATTCTTATATCACATTTTTAAACTATCAATCTTATCCTGTTTTCATCTTTTTTGCTGTTCTTAAATTTGCTGTTTCTGTAAAAAAAAAAAAGCTACTTAAAGATAATCCATCAGGTTTCTTGAACAATGGTCAATAAAACCAAACAAACCACTTGGTTGGGAAAATATGTGAATGACTTAAATTATCTTTATAGGGAATGTTAAGTTGTTATGACCTGTCTAGAAGTATCAGCAATAAAGGGAAAGGGTGAATGAGATTTAAAAAAACATTGTTTCCTCCAAGATTTTTCCCCCAAATACTCATTTTCAACTTTAGACTACCAAAAACACATCTAAGTAAACAGAGTCAGATGGGAATTCAAAGAACAATGTTCAAATCTATGTATTTTACAAGAAAATGTTTAGCAAATAAGTCATAAAGACGTATTCAGGAGTTCTCTCCTTTTCCCCATGTGTAAGGCCATATTGAATTCATGCTAGCATAAATGGCTGGAGGAAGAGGTAAAAAAATTTTCTTTGGTTGTCTCTAATCCAAAAATAAATTAAATGGACTTAAACTGCTCTTTTTATGTCGATGCTACCAAAAGTGTAAATAATTCAAGCATACTTTGTTCCTGTATACGAATATATGCAGCAGGTATGCTTGCTTCAGTAAATAATCTTAGTCTCCTGAAAAACCTCAGGGGACATCTACATACCAACTAGCATTTTCCTCTTTGGTTTCTTCTTACTAAGCCATTGAGCCATGTTCAATTTCCTTTTACAAGAATCATTTCTGTATACCTACAAGCAGCACCTTTATCCTGAAACCAGACCTTTCACTATTTATAATACTGACCTCTGACTTGGCTGCCATTAGCATAGTCCACACTTTTTTCAGCTTCTTAGTCTTCCCTTGAGCTTCCTCTTGCAGGCTGGTATATTTTTCTTCAATGTCCAATCGCTCTTGCTATTTTTCACATTTAAAAAATAAAATGCCATAGATTGGCCACCATTATCCAACTGATGGGCAAGTGCAAGAACATTATTTTACATAAGCCATGGAGGAGGATACATAAAATAAGAGTACGGTAATATTTCGTCACCCATTTGTGCCATTTGGCATCTATTTCAGACACTCACCAAAGCTCACCAAAGCCTTTGATTTGAATGCTTTAATTAGCAAAGTCTAACACATTAGGACATAAGGTATTTTCCATCTTCTACTTATGCTGGAGCAGAAAAAGACTATCCGGGTTTTTATATGGTTGTGGTTTCCTATCAATTACATCATAAATATTTGGAACTTCCATATGATGCTTTCCAATGAATATCAAGATGTATCTCCATAGAGTTTGAAACATACAGTTCTTTGAAGGAAGAAGCTTATGATAAAGATGGACATATCTGTGAGAGAGGAAAGTCTATTTTTCCTTCCTTCTAGTCGCCATTTTATTTTTTCATCAGTTTTGTTTTCCTGAAGCTGAAACTGAACTTGAAGCCTTGATGGGTTCAACTGCATTAGTTCAACTGCATTAGCTCCTAGGACAGTGGTTCTCAACCTTTTTAATGCTGCGACCCCCAACCGGTCGTAAGTCGAGGACTAGACTGGTCGTAAGTCGAGGACTAAACCGGTCGTAAGTCGAGGACTACCCAACCGGGCATAAGTTGAGGACTTTCCCTGCCCGGGAGAACCATGCATGCATGGTTCTGCCCCCTGTGCCGGCCGAGGCGTAACTGGCAAGCGGCAGAGACGGAGCAGGCCGACCACCAGCTGGCCCAGCTCAAGGGAGGTAAGGCACCCGCCGGAAAAGGGGAAAAAAATGGCGGACAGCCTTGCTTGGCGACCCCTGTGAAATGGTCGATCGACCCCAAATGGGGTCGCGACCCATAGGTTGAGAACCGCTGTCCTAGGACTATGGGACTACAACTTAAATGCAGACAAAATGAACTTTTGCCATAATCAATATATGGCTATTTCCCCTACTTTCCTTTGAATTTACTTACATACTAAGGACAAGCTTTCTTCCTTTTGCTTTTGCTTCCTGGTATTCAGGATGCTGCTTATAAGCGCTATGTGCTTAGCGCTCAAAGCATTGTTAGAGACCCCACACACTCACTTTACAGTCTGTTTCTGTTGCTCCCTTCTGGAAGGAGGTTTCGAAGTATTTCTAGCAGGACTACCCAATTCTGTAATAGCTTTGTTCCCTATGCCATCCATCTAGTAAACTCGCAAGATTAGTTTTTCTCACCATGCACATGTATACATAATCCGAACTAGACTTTTGTTTCTCTGTGTCATATAATACAGGGCTTTTCAACCTTTTCACTCATTGTACCACTTTTAGGATATGGCAATATCCGAGTACCACCAGTCGTCTAGCAAGGTGTCAAAAACTTGATGACCAAAAAAAAAAAAAAAGGACAAAAGTGATAAGGTACAGGTAGTCCTCGACTTACAACAGTTCGCTTAGTGACTGTTTGAAATTACAATAGCACTGAAAAAAGTGCCTCCCAAGCCACAGTCGAGCAAGACACCTGCCTGCCCGCCCAGTGGCACTCTTCCTCCTGTCCGAGGTTTTCATTGTTGTGAGCATTTCTGTTGAGGATTGGCAGCGGGGGTGGGGTGGGGGGTGTTTGGTTTTTATCTCCCCCCCCCCCGTCTGCTGGGTGGTTGCAGCAGGTTTTGGTCACTTCACATAACCCTGGGACACTGTAACCATCATAAATATGAATCAGTTGCCAAGCATCTGAATGTAAATCACAAGACCCCAGAGATGCTGCAACATTCCAGCTGATCGGCGCTTCTTCTGGGCTCAGCAGAAGTGCCAGGATCAGCGCCGAGCTCCAGCTGGAGCCTGGCCCTGATCCTGGCGTTTCCAGTGAGCCCTGACAGTCCTGAAGGAGCGCCGATCCTGGCGCTTCTGCTGAGTCCTGACAGCCCTGCAGCTGCAGCCATCTCTCACTCAGCCTTGTGTGGTGCTGCCACCGGTTCAGCTCATTCCCGTCCCCTGCTACTTTTCTAGGATGCTCGCGTACCACCTGCCAGGTGCCAATGTACCACAGGTGGTACCCGTACCACTGGTTGAAAAGCCCTGATATAATATATGTGGGTATATGCATAATTCTGTATTTATTTATTTATTTTTGTCATATTTATGTAGTGTACATCAGAGGTGGTGACCCTTTGAGAGCTGAATGCAATGAAATTTCATTTTAATGTATGCTGATTAGTGTACATTCAAAGTGACAATAAAGTTCTATTCTATTCTATTCTATTCTATTCTATTCTATTCTATTCTATTCTATTCTATTCTATTCTATTCTATTCTATTCTATTCTAGTTCCATTCCATTCCATTATGTTTTTGGACAGTCTCCTGTTCAAAAAGGTATTCCCCATTTAGTCTCCTTCACTGCTTCCTTGAGTTCTGAATTCAGAAGCATCGTTTGTCATGTCTGGGCTACAAAATTCTGGATGACCATTAGAGTAAGTATTTTTGTTTCTCTTTGCTGTCTTCTAGAGCTTGCCCAAATATATGCAGCTCAGACATGGCACCCTTGTGTCAACGCTGCTAATATTGAATATTCTTGCTTTGACAAAATATGCAGAACTGTCTGGTATTTTTAGAGTTAATGCAGAGGAGAATGAGGGAGGAGGGAAAAGCCCACGAAAGAGGACGGAAGGGAACCTTTGCCCTTCAAACTAATTGGAGAACGTAAATCATGACAGCAGAATCATGACAGCAGAATAAGGGAGGGGAAATGCTAGCAAAAATAACTGCTCGGTGGGTGGGAATTTCAGATCTTAGCATTCCCTTTCATCATGCCTGTGCCGACATTTTGTCACATAAATAAAAAGACTTTTTTAGGATAAAATGCCTGGAAGTTCTTTGAAGTGTTTCATTAGTCAGAACCATGACACCTTGATCATCGCACACTTACATTTTGACTTGATGCTTCCTTCTCTGCTTCCTTTAGTACAGGGGATCCCAACCAGGGGTGCTCGCACCCCCTGGGGATGCGAGATGATATTACAAGGGGTGCAAAAACTTAGGTTTTCAAAATTATAGTGTATATGCATAATTCGTTGCCGTTATTTTGAACTTTTATAAGGGGTGCAAGAATATATCAGAAACGTTCTAGGGCTGCGGGGTATAGAAAAGGTTGGGAGCTGCTGCTTTAGTAGTTAAAGCATACGTTTCTTTTTATTATATTTTCTTCAGTTACATCTCATTTGTCTAGAAAAGTTTCAATATTGGTTTCATTTCAAGGGTGCCATAAAGGAATTCTGCTTCTTTTTCAATTTATGATGGTAAGTATGCTAGTTGATTACTCTGCTCTATTTTAAAAAATAGGGTTGTAGAAAGTAAAAGAATTTCACTGGACTATATTTCCCTCTTTCCGGTACTAAAGGACATATCTCTAAACTTTTGGATACTATCATGTTCTATGTAGATATAGCTATTACTTCTTAATTATTCCTTAGCCTTGCCTGAACATATGGACACATAGATGAAGAACAGCATCATGGGGGCTGTTTAGAATAAAAGAAATCAATACTTCAGCAAGAGAATAAATGGACCTCTTTCTCCTCCAGCTCTTTTCGGAGTTGCTCTGCTCTTTTCCTTCGTTCCTCCAACTCCATGTTAGATTCTTCCAGAAGTTTCTCTTGCTCCTCAGCTTTAGCCAACAAATCCACACCTCCCACAATCACTTTTTTTTCCAAAGCTGACAACTTCTCTAATAGTGACTGATGTTCTTGCCTAGAGAAACAGAAGAAAAAAAACCTTTGCATTCCTACAGCCAGGATTCTACAGCTAAAAATCCCAAGTATAATGGAGCAACTCATACTGCTTATGCCAGAAGTCCTAAACAATTCCTTACATTCACTAAGTAAATTAAGACTATGGTAGAGGTATTTAGGATGATTTTAAGATTGGCATAATGTTTTCTCAACATCAGCCAGGCTGAACATGTTCTACTTTTCAGCAATTAACCTGATGTATCAGGAACCCTAGTACAGCTGTATTTACAACAAAGGAAACCTGGTTTTTTTCTCTCAGGATGTTCTAATTTAATGCTCTTGTGTCACTGGAATTGTTGTAACAAATATTGTTACTTCTCTGATGTTTCTATAAGAATTTCACTAAACCTCAATAAATAGGGATGAAAGAAATAATAATGCCAACTTTCCTTATGAGTTATTATAAGAGCTTCAATTAGATAATGCATGTGAAGTGATTTGAATATTTTTATTCAACCACTTTTATCCTCCTTCCAAGATATGTTGTGCTGATCAGAACTGTTATGCAAACAAATCAGCAGGATCCGCCTGGAGAATAAACACTCTGTCAGATGAATATTCTACAAATGTATTCTCAAATTTCAGAATGCTTACTGTGCTTTAAGCAAATCTTTCTCCCTTTTTTCAAGTTCTGCCCGGGCTTTGTTCCTTTCTTCCTCTTCCATATCAAGCTTTGTCTCAAGGGCTTTCCTTTCTTCATCAATTTTGGCCTGCATCTCTAACATCTTGTCAGGAGAAACTTTCTTTTTTCCTTTCACAGGATTTAAAAGCAAGGTTAATTAAGCAGATGCATTTTCTCATATTGTCATACCAATAAAAGTTTTGCATTGGATTTGTTCATTGCAATGTAGAGATTTCTAAAAAGTATATCTATCACCCAAGAATCAAAGAAATAACCATTCTGTGGTCATGACATTGTCTTGCATCAAATATATTTTTATTCATTCCTATCGGGGATAAATGCTTGATTTATAATGATCAACTGGGTAAGATGTCCCAATATTATCACACCAAAAATATTTTTGTTAATTTAGAATGACACAGATTTTGATTTTAAAAAAACATACACACCCTAGTGATATTAACTTTTAAAACTAAAAATGAGATGCACAGTGTTGGAATAATATAATGCTGGAAGAAGAAAAAAGAGCAAAATTATTAAGCTAAAGCAGAATTTGTCATTTGTTCATAGGGCAGAAACAGAAGCAGGAGGAAGAGAAGAATCTTTTTTTTTTGTTTGCCCCATTTTACTCTTTACCCCTTCCTCCCCACAATGTGAAATATTCAGAAGGACAATTTTGGTAAGGTAAAAACAAACAATAGTTGAGCTATTGCTGAATAGAAGGACAATCTCTGACTTGTCTCCCATATCTTTATTTGGACAATATTACTCAAATTTTGTCGACCTGGTGAAACCTCCTCCCCTGATTTCACTTTTAGCTGCACTGGATCCACTAACACAGTGGTTCTCAACCTTTTTAATGCCGTGACCCCTAACCGGTCGTAAGTCGAGGACTAAATTGGTCATAAGTTGAGGACTAAACCAGTCGTAAGTCGAGGACTACCCAACCAGTCGTAAGTCGAGGACTTTCCCTGCCCACCTCGCGGCGCGTACGCACCAAGGCGGGGGACGCGGCCGGCTCCGCATCGACCGTTCGCCGTCTCTGCCTCGTCCGGCTGGTGGTCGACCGGGTCGAGTTCCCTCCATTCCGTGGGCGGCCTTTTCCCCCTTTTTTACCGCCTGTCGGAACGAACCGCTGGGGGCACTTTACCAGCTAGCTGGGGTTTACCCCAACGCTTCCATAGGTTGAGAACCGCTGCATTAACAAAACAGAATGAATAGAATTGCATGCCCACTGTATCCACCAAGATTTTAGAGCACAAAAGCTAGGTAAGTTTTAAAAAGTTCTTTAAATTCTATTAGATGCAGGGCAAATCAAACACACCAACCTGCTTGATCTTGCATTTAAGAGGAAGAGGCAAACAAATCGCAGAGAGGCAGCACAGGCACAAAGAGGAAAGGGGTGGAGAGGGGAAAAAAAGAAACATATTATTGCTTGATTTATTTTTTTTTAAAAAAATACAAAAAATTAATTAAGGCATTCCAAAATTTGCATCTATCTACAGAAAAGGCGAACACCGAAATGCAAGATTAAAGGTCAACCCTATTGTTCCATTTTAAAACTGAACTGGAGTAAGAATCTGAAGAATATAATTACTCCTCAGTTTTCTTATTACAATACATAACACGGCTTGTCTGAACAGTATTATGCTAATTCTGCTGTTCAAGCTCTAACCTTATCTCAGAGAATGTGCCCAGAGAAACATCCAGGAAAATAATATGCTATCTAGACTAAGGCCGGGGAATTTGAAGTAGCCAATTGTCAGACAAGCCCAGTCAAGCTTGCTTTGTGTTTGATCACAATTTCCAATCAACTCTCTGCATCATTCATAGATTATAATATGGTTGTAATGTTGATTTGAATAAAGACAGATTTCTTTCTAAAAATGCAGATGTTTCCTTAGAGATAAAGTAGCACATTTTAATGGGGATTAACAAAAAGGAGGAAAAGAGAGAAATAAGACGAGGAAATGCTGTGAAACATGCAGCATGCAAAAGGGGGAAAAGCCATTATATGGGAAAGAAAGTTCGGATTTCAAAAAGCAGGTGCCATCACTACCCCACTCATCATACCAAGCTGGAGTGTATTCAGTGGACTGTGATGTGTTTCCTCAATGAAAACATTCCATTGTGATTGAAAGCCAGCAGCGGGAGGGAAGAGGGGTGGGAAAAGACTCTTTGTTTCAAACTATTAATGAAAATATAAAATAAAGATCTACTGAACTTGTTTCATCACGTCTGCTGCCAGGAACTAGTCGATCGCTATCAGCAAAACTCTGCTGAAGCAGAGATGTCCCATTTACTCTGATAAGCAGGAAACAGCTGACATGCAAATATGTATGATTAAGTTATGGGTATTTTTTCCTCCAGAATTAGGTGTCTGGGGGTGTGGTCAAAATAGTTAAGATGGTGCCTGCAATAATGCGATGGAAGCTGCCATTTTGAATTTTTTTAAAAAAAACCACACCCTATTGACACCTCTGCTCCAGAAACTAATGGGAAGCTTCTACGTAAGCAGAGTGTTAGGTGTCTAAAGTCATTTACTAGTGACACTGAATGTCAGTTGTATCAAAGATTATCCAACCCAGTTCCCTTTCCAAAGCATATACCTACAGAAAAAAAAATCTGCCAAAAAGCTATCTGTGCTTATAGTATGACTGTACCAAATCAGTGTCAACAATGCCTTTTTAAAAATCGTTTCGGTGACCCGACATCCTGCCTTATATGAGCAATTCCAATATTTCTTTTTTTCCTTTTCTTAAACTATTTAGCTAAGGTGTTGTTGTTTTTTTTAAAAACAAAACAAAAAAAATTCAAGTTTGAAACAGCAAAAGAAAAAGCATGCTTTACTTTGCGCGGAGCAAATCCACATTTCACTCTGAACAAAACCGATCTTATTGGGGACAGAAGGAGCAAAATGCAGCATCAAAACAATGAGCGCGCGGATTATGGAGAGGCCAAAGCTTCACTGGATGACTTAAGAGCTCCCACTCACTAGTGAAGGTTTTATCCAGAGGTTTTTCTATGACAGAGCATGGAGACTCTGAACTACTGCTGCTGCTACTGCCTGGAAAATACAGAAGTGGGCCCCATGGAAATCCCAGGAAAGAAGAAAAAGAAGAAACAAGAAATACATGCTGAACGTTAGATCTAAAGGGCGAAAGACCAACCCAAAACTCCTCAGAGAGAGACTGACTCCTTGATGCATCGGCTCATGTTCCTTTAAGAGCCCTGCTCTGCCACTGCACGGCTCAGAATTAATGCACCCCGGTTGGCTGACAAATGCTCCCCAGGTCATTTCTGAGGGTGAGTGGAGAAATCAACAAACACAACCCCTTGGGTCTCCCTAAAGAAGTGCAATTCTCACTTCCTTCTTCAGGCAATGTTTTAATAATATTATTAAACATTATTATTAAAGGTCTGGGGTTTAACCAACAATGCATCAATTAAAAACTCAGAGGAGGAAGAAATCCATTAAGGGGGAAAGGAGCATCAGTCCTTTTGCTTCAACCAAATTAGGACTCGTTTCAGATAAGCACAAAATGTTTGCTTAGAGCAAAGGTAGATTTTTTTTTTTTTAAAAAAAGGCATTTGAACTTGTTGTTCTGACCCAGGATTTCAAGGAATTCGACTGAGCTAGGAAGCAAAGTAGATGGGGCCAGGCAGAAATCCCCCAAATAAAAAGCAAACAGAACCAACTTCACAGCAGTCTACAGACCTTAAATATTGGTTGAGAAAACCATCATTAAAATATGGCAGAGGGAGCTCTGAAGTACACAAAATGTGTGCCTGGGGATTGATGGGCTTGTGAATTGCCCATCCCTGATTTAAACTACCTTTCCCAGCCTGGTGCTCTTCAGATATGTTGAGCTTGCCACTCCCATAATCCCCTGGCAAAATACATTTAATTTAGGAAAATTAAAGCTCAACACATCTGGAGGGCTCCAGGTTGGGGAAGGTTTGTTTAAATCAGTAATGCATTGGCGGGTTTCGGGTCATGTGCTATCCAATTAATTATACATCGATGAGGACTCCTAAAAGAAGACATTTTGCAACCAAATAGCAGTAGATTTTCCCTATCCAGAACACTGAAACTCAAATATACCTCCCTTGTCTCCATAGCACATTACTCAGCTTGAAAGTAGATTCTGAAATTCTATCTCAAGTTACTACCCTGACTTGATATATCCAGTAGACTAAGTTATCTTATGTGCAATTAAATTGCAGTATTAGTCACAGCTATATTTTTATGACTAAATTTTAAAAAATTAAGTTAAACTGAATGAAAATCAACAGGAAACTTAAAAGTCTTGCAGGGTTTTTTTTCTTTTTAGAAGGCCACTGCAGCAAAGAAGGATAGCCTTTATTTTTAGAGGTAAAGCTTAATCGTGCCATCATTATTTTCCCCACAATCACCAAACAGGAGACAAAAATATTGTCTTTAGGAATGAATGTGTCCAATGCATTCAGCCAAACTTCTATGTACAAACACCCCAAATTCCAAAGCACATTAATATAAATGAAGTAGAAGCCAAAGTTCAGAAGAAAACCCAGAACTTAACTTTTGTGCTGTCTAGGAAACATCAAGACTAGCCTGAAGATATTTGAGAGTCATTATGCCCCACAATTATTTTATTCTCAAACCCCTCCCCCTTCCTTAATGGTCATGAGTTAACTAAATACAATTTTACAGAAGGACAAATAACTGCAGTGGGCACTCAGGCAAAAAACACTAAAGATGACATCGAGTGATCTGAAAGCACCTTACCTCTTCGTTTCTTTCGTTTTTCTCCATCTTCACCAATTTCTCCGTCATCCTCTTCATCATCCTCTTCAGAGCCACTGGTCTCGGAACCAGAGATTTCTTCCCCTGCAGTAGTTTGGCATTTTTAATATAAGAAACAAATGAGAGAGTAGAATAGAATAGAATAGAATAGAATAGAATAGAATAGAATAGAATAGAATAGAATAGAATAGAATAGAATAACAGAGTTGGAAGGGACCTTGAAGGTCTTCTAGTCCAACCCCCTGCTCAGGCTTGAAACCTTATACCATTTCAGACAAATGGTTGTCCAATCTCTTCTTATTTTAATGATTTTAAATTAATTTTTATCTACAGAGTCCTGGTGTATTAATTTAAATCCCAGTCTAATTTTACCCTTTAGTTTTACTAGTTTTGTTAGAAAATAGGACTACAAAGAAACCAATCAAAATAATTAGCAGGTTATCAAGAAATGCTTAGCAACTGGTCTGGCTAGCAAAGGCTCTATTTCTTATCAAATGTAACTGATTGTGCCTACTGCCTTGTATTTGTTGCAAACAAAACTACATTTAGTGAATAAGAGTAATTGATAATTGCAACACATTCTTAACTACAGTCAGTAGGTGTAATATTTCATTGAAAGAAGTTAAAACTATGAGTGGAAGTTGAATGTTGGACTTAGACTAAAGAAGACATTAAGCTGTTAAATTTGACAGGTAGGTTTAGGACACTCACTATCTCCCAGCCTAAGCTATATTACAAGATGTTCGAAGACAAAAAGAGAGGGAAAACAAATCCATCTATCATCCTAACTTCTTGAAGCAAGCATAGGATAATCTGATATACACATTAAAATCTACATTCATCATTCTCTATTTTATTGGAGAACTTGGAATGCATTTAAAATGGGACATTACAAGCAACGTATATTAATAGGAGACAATGAACAAATTACCTTCTTCCAACTTTTTCTTAAGTTCTTCAATTTCTTTTTGAAATTGGCGAAGTAAGGCATCCTTTGGATCTTCATTAATTCTAGCCTTATTCTTGATATTCTTAGCACGGTTAGCATATCGCAGAGTGCTGATGGTCTCATCATAATTGTAGTCTGCTGGGCCAATGTTTGCACACTAAAAAGAAAGAAAGAAAAAAGGGAAAGAAGCGTAAAAGCCTGCAATTAAGTACACAGCAGTCCAATTCTCAATTTAGTGCAACATTATGGTCAAATGTTAAGCTGAAGCTAGATTTCTAAGATAGTTGGATTTTAAGCGCAAGAACATTTTGTATGCTTTTCAGAACTAAGCATAAGGGGAAACCTATACATCCCAACCCAGAAATGCTCAAAGCCAAAAATAGCATACCTCTCCAGCCATGCTTGGACAATGGCATTCTCCACAGTAGGCAGGTGATCAGCACCATCAAAGCCAAAACCACTGATCATCTTCCACTGCACCAGTTCTTTACATTCCTGGCATGGAACGCTTGGGGGAAAACCAATTGTTCATAATTTATCCTTACTGAACTGCAACAAATTGGGCAATGGAATAGAGCAGGGCTTTTCAATCTTTTCACCCATTGTACCACTTTTAGGATATGGCAATATCCGAGTACCACCAGTCACCTAGCAAGGTGTCAAAAACTTGATGAACCCCCCCCAAAAAGAAAAAAAGTGATAAAGTACAGGTAGTCCTCGACTTACAACAGTTTGCTTAGTGACTGTTCGAAGTTACAATGGCACTGAAAAAAGTGCCCCCCAAGGCACAGCCGAGCAAGATGCCTGCCCGCCCAGCGGCGCTCTCATTCCCCTCCCCCACTACTTTTCTAGGATGATCGCGTACCACCTGCCAGGTGCCAATGTACCACAGGTGGTACCCGTACCACTGGTTGAAAAGCCCTGGAATAGAGAACCAATTGATACAGTTCTGAATGGCAAGCATCATTTCTAGGAGTGGGATGTTATGTCAAGAGGGAGAATTCAACAAGCTTGAGGAAAATCCAGTATTTGCAGAACTATGAAAAAGCTTTAAGGGAGGAAAAAAAAAACCTTGAAAGGAAGAGGGCCCAAAACAGCTCACTGAAGACTTTACATGCTTCATGGAAGCATGCTCCAAGAAGCAAACACTGCCTGCTTGTGATAACTTAATATTTAAAAAGGAACTAGAATGGAGTGCCTCAGATATAAATGTGGCTGGCCACCTGTACAGAAATACTTTGAAAAGCAACACTTTTTCTCTGGCTACTGCTTATGATTACCAGTACTTTGTGGCACCCATCATACGTATTCTCCTCACAGCACCTGGCTGGTCTTGCTTAGAAGTTGAAGCTAAACAGCTAAACTGATTTTCAGCTATTATGTCAGGAGACTTCAAAAGCTGAAAAATGAGGATTCGTGGTTGCATACGGGAATTAACGTTCTGTGCAAATAGCATGTAAGTGGTGAGAAGAATCATTAAGGAGAACTAGGAGCTGAAGCTATTAAGGTAGTTTGCTTGCAGAATTTATAGTATAACACAGTTGTATATTGTACTGTATACAGTGTACAATAAAATCAGAATTATAAATTATCAATATAATCCATAATCCTTTTTTTCCAGTTTTGATACTAAAATAATAGCTACATTTTTAATTGGCATTTGATATGGCACTGCTTATCCTTAGTCCCCAAGGCCTTCCAGCAGAACCATATGTAGACTTGCTTCCAGAAGGCTGTGAAGATGGGGTGGGGAGGAGGGAAGCATCCTTGGTTCAAGGGAGCAGTTGTTCCAAAGGAGGGAAGATACTATCAGGTCCCCTTCCTTCTGCACCTCTTGGGAGGTGGCGTTCATTAGCAGGCACTCCCTAGTTAATGGCATGGGACAGACAGAAACTATCATGGGACAGACAGAAACTATCATGGATTCTAAGATATTCAGACCCTGACCCACATGAGATAGTGATTAGCACTTGAATTCCCTACTGGTAGCCAATGTAGCTCCTGCATCACAGGAATACCACAGGAGTATCACAGCAATAATGCAACTAACCACCGCTCTGTTCTGGACCAACTGAGATTATTGGGGAACTGCATTGGGCAAATTACAGTAATTTAAACTAGAGCTGATAAAGGCATAAGTAACTCTTTTCAATGCCTCCTCTTCAAGATAAAAGCACACCAGCCACAGATTGCAAAACCCCTTCTGGCCACAGTCTTTACCTAATCTTTGAGCAAGAGCTGTGAGTCCAAGACCCTTGATTGGGAGCATGTTCTTTCTGAGGGTAGAACAATGCCATCAAGAGCCAAAGAGTTGTAGCGCTGCAAATCAGTTCATCTCTGAATCGACAGTAACTCCATCTTGTTTGGACTGAGCTAGAACCTGCTTTCCCCATCCACAACCTGATAGCCTCTGGACTGTCGTTTACTTGCTCAGAATGAATCACTAATGTTTCCTTATTATTACCATCATAGTTTTGGAGTTGCCACCAAGAGAATCCTGGAGTAGTCGAGTCAGTTTAGAATTACGGTAAGGCACATGAGTGCTCTTTCCATCAACCAGCGCCGAGATGACATTCCCAAGGGTGGAGAGAGAAAGATTAATTTTTGTTGCTTCTTTCAGTCGTTGCCCAGTAGCTCCGGTTTTTGTTTGCCTTTCTGAACCCTTTAGAAAGAGAGAAAGAGGCAGAGAGTTAGGGAGCAAAGGGCTCTTCCAGAAATACTTTATTCAAAGAAGAGCACTGAATAAAGCAGCTGAAAAAGGCTGTCCCCTTGATCTGAAACCACATGCAAGAGGGTAGTGTCAGCTGTCCGACTAGCGAACCCCCAAAAAGGAATCTTCAAGGTGATTGAGTGCCATAGAAGATAAGCTTTACTGAATGTGCATCTTGGAACTGAAGAAGCAAAACCAGCTCTGGTTTTCCTGTGTGAAAAATTGTCTAGTTAAACAATAGCTTCCCTTGCGCGCGCCCCACAGTGTTCACACTGTCCAATCATAGAACTTTGGTTTGTTATGGGAACAGTCCACTTCTCCATCAAGCACCTGTGTTAGTGACCTTGGCATTCTTGCAGGCCCTCACGGTCCGCAAGGAATCCCGTTTCTTCCCTGTGCTTTCTACCCCTCCCCCCTTTTCTATGGCAAGTTGATTAATGATGGAAGCTAGCAGGCATCATAGCGATTCAATCCTGACAGGTAGGAACAAAAAGCCCAAACATATGGAGAAGGGGTCCTTAAAGAGGTAAGGCAGCATAGGTGTGGAAATGAAGGTTCATTTAAGGACATGAAGACATTCCTCCACTTCAACTAGCAATTTCTAGCAGCTTCTCTAGAAACACAGAGGAAATCCCTACAGTGGCTGTAATACCCATGACAGACATGCTACAAACGTATGAAAAGAAAAACTTACTGCAAGATCCACTAGATGTAGCTTGCCCATACGGACATGTATATTCCCATCCACACCCTTCTCACTGCACTCAATTGTGATTGTGAAAATAGCATGGGAACGGGAGCTGTGCTCATTCATATTAGTGGCACCAACAGAACCTATTGACACAGAGAAGGGAAACTAAAAGTTTAAAATAACAAGTCTTTTTGATTTTTTTTGACACTGTTCCAGCAGCCCTGTTCTAACATGGGAGAGGGGGGAGGAGAGAAAGTAACAGAATGAATGAACAGGCACCAAAACCCTATCTCCTCAAGCTGTCTTCAGTTTACCAGTATGCTTTATTATATTTATATTAATTACTAGCTATACCCGGTCACGCATTGCTGTGGCTCAGCTCAGTCTGGTTAAATGGAAAAGAAGTGTGTTGCTTTTACGTCCAACAGATGGTGCTGTTTTTCAAAAAAAAGCATGTTTTTACCTGTCACAGGTGTGACATCTATATAATAGTAGGTATATAGAAACATGCGCGTATTCAAATGCAACGTTGTGTCAAAATTTCAAAGCAATCGGTGAAGAACTTTCGGAGATTTAAGATTTTGAACAAACGAACATTTACATTTTTATTTATATAGATAAAAATGAGAAACTTAGGCAAGCATCAAAAACCAAATTAAATTCAAATTTGATCACTTTTTAATATCAAAGGCTGCATATGTAGAACCACATGTATACTGAGCCAGCTACGCTGGAAAAGACAAAAGGAATCACCATAAATATTATAGATGGTTTTTCTTACGCTTTTATAATGAATGGTCACATTTAATGACACGGAGGACATTCCACAAAGACTATGAAACATTTAACTAGGGCTATACAACTTACGGTTTTTATGGCCAAGAGTCATAATTCTATCCATGTCATCTGCATTGTTTACAACATAGGCTGAAAGATCTTTGATATAGACTCCTACATCGGGTCGTTCTTTAACCTATAAGACATTTTAGTTAATAATTCCTATGAGCGATGTGTATTTTAAAATAACTGACATTCTTTATATTCAGTAAAATAGACCATACAAGTATTTATGTTCTTAGAATATTAAAGAGAGCCGATCTGGTGCAGTGAATAAGATCTTGGCCTAGAAACCAAGAGACTGCAAGTTCTAGGCATCCTTTAGGCATGAAAGCTAGCTGAGTGACTTTGAGCCAGTTACTTTCCCTCAACCCAGTCTCCCTCACAGGATTGTTGTGGAGAAAAAAGGCAGGATATTCGCTATGTTTGTGTGTGTATTTGTAATAACTAGCACGTACAAACACATAACACTCCAGACTTAATTATTGTTGATAAGAAAGACAAAAAAAATATGGATAGTGGACTTTTCAGTACCTGGAGGCAGCAGAAGAGAAGAGAAAGAACTGGAGAAATTCACAAAATATAAAGACCTACAAATAGAAGTAGAACGGCTATGGCAAAAGAAAACAAAGATAATACCAAAAGGACTAGGTGCCTTGGGTGCAAGGCCAGAAAACCCGAAGCACCATCAACATTGACAAAATAACCACCAGTCAATTGCAAAAGGCAGCTTTTCTTGGAACAGCTTTCATCCTGTGATGATACCTTTAATACCATCAAACAACAACATCTGCCTATCCCAGGGATTTGGGAAGGATTTGATAGATGGATAAAAATGGCAAATCCAGTCTAAACATCTGGCTGACTGTGTGAAAAACCATAGTAAATCAGAGGCGAGTGCTCGAATGTCATTTGTGTAAATGTTAAAGAGATGATCATGCAGCTAGTTTTCACAATGGTAAGAGTTTTAAGTTTTGGGTTTTTTTTATTAAATTTTTTTATTAATTTTTCAAATAAAATATAAACAAATAATACAAATATGGTGCATTTCATTAGAAAAACAAACACATAAAAAGCCTATTCCGAAATAATCGGCGTTATTTCGAAGAGTTTTAAGTTTTTACCTCAAGCCTCTGTGTCTGGTCCTTTCCCAAGAGGTCACGTACTTCCTCATTGTAGATTTCTAAGTAAGAAACTCGAACCAAAAACCTGAAGTTTAAAAATACAGTTACAGCAAAAACATTGCCAGAATTAATTTTAATTTATGAAAGATTAAGTGAGGGAGAAAGAGAAAGGGGAAGATACACAAAAATGATTTTAAAAAATTAAGGGAACTTTTGAAAAGAGGCTTATAGCCTCTATCATTAAAAAAAAAAGATTCCATTTGGGGCATTTCAAATTAAGAAAAGAAATATATTTGAGATAGAAATGCAATACAAATGTCATGCCCAGTATGATTTCCCCATAAACCTATGAAGTAAAGACAAGGGAATACAATCCGATCTTTTGTGAGCAGATTTCTACAGTAAGGCATCCCATTTTTTCTGGAAAACTACAGGAGAATAGTGAATCCACCTTGTTAAATGGTGATCTACTGCAAATTTCTAGAATCTCTACAGGAAATGCCCAAGAATTGGTTATTCTTAATTGTTTAATGACAGTTCAACCAAAATGATTTCCCTTTATTCTAAATTATACTAAAAAGAAAAAAGCTTTGGATAGTCAAAAGTGTATGTGTAATAACCAGGTTACTTTAAGTTAGCGTGTTCAAAACAATTTTGGTACACAATATTTCTTTCAGATAAGGCTTGAGTTGGTGGATCTCAAGTTTTTTAAATGAAATAAATACCTAATTAAATTTATAAATTTGTTTATTAAACCTATATGCCATCCATCTTACTATCAAGTGACTCTGGGTGGCAAGTAAGTTTCTAAGAAGCTGAGTGCTGAGTGCTGTTAGAGGCAGTATGTACCAAAGTATTTTTTTTCATGAAACATCTAATCAGTTTAGAAAAGTCATTGCTACTGACAAATCAACAGGAGCATTAGATATTTTAAGGCAAATTTCAAAAGCTGTCTATCTTTGAATATGAAAAGAAAACTAAAAGTTGTTTAAATACATTAACCATGTATAATCAGACTTAATCAGACTAATTAATAAAACATATGCCAATCAGTATATTAATGCCAATATGTTCTTACTAACAAGCCATGCCAATCACTGCAACGATATACTGTAGTGATAATGCCTAATTTTGGACTATATATTTGTGTGAATGGGCATGTGTGAAAAAATGCAGGATGCATTTGCCCTCCACAGATATAAGGCCCAAAAGGCAGAAAGGAGTTCGGTTCAAGGACAAGATGGATGACTCTGAAGAACAAGAACCATTCCTAAAACAACAGACAGTTCCCATGTAAAGTGGATGAGACAATGGCATTCTGAAGCAAAAATGCCAAGTGATATAAAAGAAGTGCCACAATAGTACTGGTCAAACTTGTTGGAAACTATGTACCTGCCTCATTTCTTCTGGAATTCAAACCCAGCTTGGCCACCTAGACTTTGAGTCAGGTAAGCATGCCTCGATGTATAAATATGTGGGTGAATAGAGCTTTTGGTTCACAAAGAGAGCAGGGAGCGTGCATTTGTTTCTAAGTTCTTGAGACTCTGGGTAGAAAAGATCAAGTAGCACTGGCAGTGCTTTCCAGCTCTCAGTGTGACCACATCCGCTTACTTCGTGTCCTACTTGTGCTTTGCCACCAGCACCTAATTTTCCACAGTCAGAAAACAAGTCCTGGATGAGATGGAATTTCAGTCTGGTCCAGGAAAGCACTTCCGAAGTATAGCTGATAGTGGCAGAAAGAAAATGAATTATTTTACCTTGTATCTCCTTCAGCCTTTGCAATGTGTCCAAATACATGAGCAAAGGAATTGGGAATGATTCCCCTGAGTTCTGGTACAGCCCGGACACCTTCCATAGTAAAAGTCTTTCCTGTTCCAGTCTGTCCATAAGCAAAAATGGTACCTGTAATATAAATCCTTTCTTTAGCACTCCTAGTTATCCTGAGGGGACAGGCCATGGCTGTGTATGTACACGCCAACAAGTAAGGATCCCTAATGAAACTTCCAAGCATGAAGCACGTCACTTTCTCACATGTTCATGTCACTTTCTCATGTGTTCATTCATGATGCTCTTTCACCCCATTACTGAATCAAACTGTGATTTCTTTTTGTTTAAAAATATACCTTTCTCAACCCACAACAGTTCGCTTAGTGACCCTTCAAAGTTATGACACTGAAAAAAGCGACTTATGACCATTTTTCACACTTATGACCATTCCAGCATCCCAATGGTTACATGGAAGTTCACATGCTTGGCAACTCTCAGGGTTATGATGGTCGCAATGTCCTGGGATCATATGATCACCTTTTGCGACCTTCTGACAGGCAAAGTCAATGGGGAAACCAGATTCACTTAACAACCGTCTTGCTAACTTAACAACTTCAGTGAGTCGCTTAACAACGATGGCATGAAAGGTCATAAAATGGGACAAAACTCAGTTAACAAATGTCTCGCTTAGCAACAGAAATTTTGGGCTCAGTTGTAATCATAAGTCAAGGACTACCTATATTTTTTTTCCCCAAGCCTAAAATACAATTTTCTATATACAGTGTATTTATTCAATGTTAGAAAATGTTTTCACAAAATGAACATATTAAGTCCACATTAATCCAGAATGTGCAAATCAGGTTTCACAAAAAAAACCAAAAACGGGCATCTTTGAACACCCCCAAACTCTCAACAATCGAAGAAATGACTGATCACATATGTCTCACCAGAAAAACACCACTTTGGAGTTGCACACACAAAGAGTATATAGGTAGTCCTCACTTACCAACAGCAATTGGGACCAGAAACTACATCGCTAAGTGATGTGTTTATACAGTGTGATGTAGTGTGACTCTATCAATTTATGACGGCAGTTCCAGCAATCCCAGTTGCCATTCTTAGATGAATCCCAAGCGGCATCCTGGCTAACATCTGTGTCTGTCTTCCCCATTGACTTGCTGTCTTTTTCATTGACTTTGCTTGTGAAAAGCCAGGAAAGAAGGTCTCAAATGGTGATTACATGACCAAAGGCTGCTGCAATGGCCACAACTATGAGGATCTGTTGCAAATCCCTCTCATACAATGTCGTTGCAACTTTGAATGGTTAATGAACAAGATGGACTATTTGTAATGTCTTTGTAACTGTTAGGGGAAAACAAGTATCTAAAGACTTGTATACAGTTTAGCTTTAACAGACATGACTCTGATGCTATTTCCAAACATAGTGAGCATTGGATTGGCTGATCCTGGTTTAATAAGTCTAACCGGACTGTTATCTTGCATTACATGTATGTGAAGAAAGGCAGACCGTCATATGATTATTTTTATGAGCAAAAAGGTCTCCACAGAAACTAAGTACAACCTTTCTCTATCTTAGTGCACTTTGAAGGAATCTTTTGAAGATTGCTTCTCTGTGGCTCAAAGTAGAGATGTTAAAAGAAACAAATCCACTCTGTTAGTAGGGGATTTTATAATGAAATAGAATAAAAGTTGTGCATGTGTGTGTCTATACATATCTATTCACACACACACACACACAAATGCAAAGTAGTTCTAAGGTTTAGGGAAGGCAATTGTGTTGCAAAAAAGTTTACAACTGGCTCTCCCTCCTCCCCTTTCTTCATCCTGTTAGAATGAAGAAGCACTTACCATTGTAACCTTCCAGAACAGAGTCGATAATTGGCCTTGCAGTCAAGTTATAGACATCAAGTTGCTTGCTCTCTGGCCCAAATACAGTATCAAAAGTGAACGTCTTGGGAGGTTCATTGGAAGAATCTGTTTTATGCACAGTAATAGTGCCTCTCATTTCATCAACATTGACAGCCATTTTATAACACATCGCCTTCTCCCGCTCATTGAGTGGCCGGCAACGAACCACAACTTTGACATTATCGCAATTATCAGGTTTGTCTGGCTTTTCAGATCTGTTGATCTACAAGGAGAAAGAAATGCCTCATTATTATTCGGCAAAGAGCAAGAAACAAAGCCAAGATGCAAAAATATGATTACAGTCAGAACTCCCATAGGAAAAAATAAAACACTTTCTGAAGCAATTTGGCAATAACCATTTTTGGAAAATATGAGATCCTCTATGTTTGGATTATAGTTAAGTGCTCACCGAAAAAAATAATAAGAAAGCACCAAAATGTTTTATGAAATATTCTCAATCTGATCTGGCATGATTTTCTTGTGGTTAGCGGGCTCAATAAAGGCACTTTAGAAGTTTTAGAAGAAATATATTTATTCCTTTTAAAATATAGTTTTAATCCAGTGGTTCTCAACCTGTGGGTTGGGACCCCATTTGGGGTCGATCGACCATTTCATGGGGGTCGCCAAGCAAGGCTGTCTGCCATTTTTTTGTCCGCCATTTTTTTCCCCCTTTTCCGGCGGGTGCCTTACCTCCCTTGGGCTGGGCCAGCTGGTGGTCAGCCTGCTCCGTCTCTGCCGCTTGCCAGCTACGCCTCGGCCGGCGCAGGGGGCAGAACCACGTATGCGCGGCGCTCCCGGGCAGGGAAAGTCCTCGACTTACGACCGGTTTAGTCCTCGACTTACGACCAGTTTAGTCCTCGACTTACGACTGGTTTAGTCCTCGACTTACGACCAGTTTAGTCCTCGACTTACGACCGGTTGGGGTCGCGGCATTAAATAATCTGGACTTTTATCATCTTCTGACAAGATTCTGACAAAGGGGTTACAATGTCCCTGGGGGGGGGGCTTTTGATCATCTTTTGTGACCTTCTGACAAGCAAAGTCAATGGGAAAGCCAGATTCACTTAACAACCATGTTACTAACAAGTGCAGAGATTCACTTAACAACTCTGGCAAGAAAGGTCGTAAAATGGGCCCAAACTCACTGAACAACTGTCTCGCTGAGCCACGGAAATTTCGGGCTGAGTTGTGCTGGTAGGTCGAGAGGACTACCTGTATTGGCAGCCAGCGCTAGGTTCCTGCGAGAGGGCAGCGAGGGGCGGGGTCGTCCATCACATGTGGATGGGGGGGGGAGAGGTTTACCTTAACTCAGGGGTAGGCAACCTTGGCTCTTTTATGACTCGTGGACTTCAACTCCCAGAATTCCTGAGCCAGCAGGGAATTGAAGTCCACGAGTCATAAAAGAGCCAAGGTTGCCTACCCCTGCCTTAACTCGAGGCCCGGCATCGCACAGGCGCTGGCTGCGATTGCTACCTGACCTCCTATGCTTTTTATTTCGGATTCACAATCCTTGCGGCTCGTGGGATTTTACTGGGCGAGGGGTCTCCAGGTCCAGCCCGGGAGGATCCGCCTTGCGAGACACGTGAAGGCGCCTCCGCACGTTCTCTAAGGGCCCCCGGAACAGCCCCGTGCAGACGCCCGCAGCCCGCAGCCAGCCCGCCACCCTGCCACCCCCTGGTGCCCAACCTCGCTTGGCTCTCCTGGCAGCGCCGCCCCTAGCAACGGGCCGCGGCGCGGCGGAGCGCAGGAGCCGGCGGGGGGGGGGGGAAAGGAGCAGAGGGAAGGCTGGGGGGGGGCGAATTGCTCACCGGCATGCTGCTCCCGCCACCGCCGCCCGCGATGAACCCGTGCCCCGACCTTCCGCAGCGAGGCTCCCTCCGTCTTTTGGGCCTCCCCCGCAAGTGTCGATGTTACATGGGCAGCCGAGACGATGTTAACAAAATTGTTATTGCCTCCGGTTACGCGAACGCGGCGGGCTTACTGTGCGGCTCGCCGGGGAGGTGAGGAGCCGCAGGACGTCTCCGTGGAGTCGGTTATCCGTTTGTCGTGGAGCCGGCGCTCCTCGGCGTGGTAGCCAATGAAAGGACGAGGATTGCAGCGGCCGGGCAGCGGGAGAAGGACGAGAGGCGCCCGCGGTGGAGGAAGCGGACGGGGGAAAAAAAAGAGGGCTCGGGTGCGAAGGACGGGGCGAGAGCTCGCTTGCTCTTGGCTGCCATCTGGGGATCGTCCGGGTTTTGCAGCGTCCATCTGACCGCCCTCGTTTTTGTGAGGCTGGACCGTTGGTTGTTTCTCCTGTAAGATGGAAACAGAGCTTTGCTTCTCTGGAAGCCGTTGCTGTAGTGACCAGTGTTTCTCAACCTTGACAATTTTAAGGCATGTGGACTTCAACTCCCAGAATTCCACAGCCAGCATTGCTGGCTGTGGAATTCTGGGAGTTGAAGTCCACATGCCTTAAAATTGTCAAGGTTTAGAAACACTAGGACGAACTCGAGGATGTGCCCTGTTGGATAGGTTTGGCTATACTGGATGAATGTCTCGAATTAACTAATTGGGGGGAAAAGTGGACGTTATTTGGATTATAACGTCTACCAGCCTGCCCTCGGTGTGTGTGTGTCTCTCTCTGTGTGTGAGAGCGGGTGTGAGTGGGAATCTCCACTCCTTTGCTTCTTTTCTCTTTTATGAACCGTCGGCCTGAATGGGAAAACGTGGTTAAACAGCTGTCACGGAGTCGACGTGGGACGCTCTGTAAAAAAAAAGCTATCGAGTATTCTTCAGATCAAGACTGTCGACTTAAAAAAAAAAAAAAAAAGTTGTCATTTAAATATTCGTAAATAGAGGCCATTCAAAATTAAAGAATGACCAGTTAAGATTGGTGGCTTTTTTTTTATTAGAGTTGTATAATGCTATCATCCTGCCACACACACCTAGTGTGTTTCTCTGTATTGGGAGGGTTGCCTAGATATTATTGCCTTCAGTTTTATTCCATTCTTGTATTTTGTTTTCTGCAAAAGCAATTAAGGTGCTCTGTTTTTATTGGAGATGCTTGGTGCTGTCTGTATGGAATCAATCTGAGGTGGTCTCCCAGTGGGATCTCTTATGTGTACACTTTGAGAGCAAGCAACTAAATTTCATTTTTAATGTGTGCCATTGTGCCCACAGTAAAAAAATGACAATAAAGGTCTATCTGTCTAATCTTATCTATCTTATCTTAATCCTTTCTATCCTACTGAGCACTGCTTCCCTAATTATCCATTTGGGACTGCACAAATGCAGAAGACCACCAGATGGCAGTAGTAATGAATTTTGTTTTATTTCTTCGCTGCTATGATCCATCACCATTCTCCTTCCCTATCTTAAAGAAGTGGGTTCTTTGTCATGTTACGTTCCTGTTGACAGGTGCTGAGATAGTAGCTACCTAGTAGCTTATAAACATGACTTTCCCAAACCTTATATGTAGGACTTTGCTTTCCCTATTAAGACCAACCTATTAAGATGAACTCTTTGCCAACCAGTTAACAAATGTATGTAGGAAGCATACCACAATAGCAATGGGAGACTACAACTATCCCGATATCAACTGGGAGACAAACTCTGCAGTGAGCAGGAGATCAAACAGATTCCTAACCAACCTAGCCGACAACTTTGTCATCCAAAAGGTGGAGGAGGAAACTAGACATAAAGCTATACTGGACTTAATTCTTACTAATAGAGAAGAAGTGATAGAGGAAGTTGAAGTTACTGGAACCACGAAAGTGACCACGTCATACTGGAATTTAATATAATGCAAACACTAGTAACAGAAAACAATCCAACCAGACTGTTAAACTTCAAAAGAGCTGACTTTAACAAACTCAGAGAGAACCTAGGAAAGATCCCATGGATGAAAATCCTAAAGGGGAAAACAACCCCCAAAACATGGGAAACTCTGAAAAATGTGATCATAAAAGCCCATACCAGTACAATACCACTGAAAAAGAAAAAAACAAGAAACTCAAGAAGAAACCAGCATGGCTGCACAAAGATCTCTCTGACAAATTGAAAGACAAAAAGGACTAATACAAAAAATGGAAAAAGGGTCACATAACTAAGGCCGATTATCAGCAGACAGCCAGAACATGCAAAGATGAAGTCAGGAAAGCAAAGGCTCAGAACGAACAAAGACTTGCAACAGAAATCAAGAATAATAAAAAAAGTTTCTTCCGATATTTATTTTATTTATTTATTTATTTAGACTTATATGCCGCCCTTCTCCCTACAGGACTCAGGGCGGCTCACAGCATATTAAAACAACACAAACATTGTCCCCAATAAATCGGTTAATTTTTGTTTATAAATTGCGACACAATTAATTTTAAGACTAATTTTAACAGGGATAAATTTTAAGAGGGATCCGGTCTGGGCGAACGACTAAAAGCCATGTCTTGAGGGCGCGGCGAAAAGATAGGAGATCCGGAATCGTCCGGATCTCGGGGGGTAGTTCGTTCCAGAGGGTGGGGGCACCCACAGAGAAGACCCTCCCCCTGGGGGTCGCCAGCCGACACTGCTTGGCCGACGGCACCCTGAGGAGGCCCGCTCTGTGGGAGCGTACTGGTCCGTGAGAGGAAATCTGTGGCAGAAGGCGGTCTCGGAGATATCCAGGTCCGATGCCATGGAGCGCTTTAAAGGTGGTATATTAATAACAAGAAAAAAGTCAAGGAAACTGTAGGTCCACTAAAGAGAAAAGATGGCAAGGAAATAACAGGCAACAGGGAGAAAGCAGAACTGCTTAATTCATACTTTGCATCAGTCTTCATACAAAAAGAAACTATAGCGCAACATACAAAAAAAAACCCACTGCAAAAGACAAACTAGAAACAAAAATTAAAATAAGCAAGAAAATGGTAAGAGAACACCTATCTGACCTTGATGAATATAAATCACCAGGACCCGACAGATTACATTCCAGAGTTCTGAAGGAGCTGGCAGATGTTATCTCAGATCCATTGCACCATATCTTTCAAAAATCCTGGGGCACGGGGAAATGCCTGAGGATTGGGAAACGGCTGATGTGGTTCCCATCTTCAAGAAAAGAAAAAAAAACACCCAGGAAACTACAGTCTAATCCAGGGGTAGTCAACCTTGGCTCTTTTATGACTCGTGGACTTCAACTCCCAGAATTCCTGAGCCAGCACAGCTGGCTCAGTAATTCTGGGAGTTGAAGTCCACGAGTCATAAAAGAGCCAAAGTTGACTACCCCTGGTCTAATCATTCTAACATCAATACCTGGGAAGATCCTGGAAAAGATTATCAAAAAACAAATCTGCAAACAAATAGAAGCAAACAAAGTTATAACTAGTAGCCAGCACGGGTTTGTCAAAAACAGATCATGCCAAACCAATCTTATTTCATTCTTCAGTAAAGTGACCAACTAATAGACCAGCGAAATACTATGGACATAGTATACTTAGACTTCAGTAAGGCATTTGATAAGGTAGACCACAACCTACTCCTTGGTAAGCTAGAAAAAGGTGGAATAGACAACATCACCACCAGATGGATCTGTAGCTGGCTGACAAACCGTACTCAACGAGTAGTCCTCAATGGTACTACATCCACATGGAGAGAAGTAAGCAATGGGGTACCGCAAGGTTCCGTCTTAGGCCCAATGCTCTTCAATATCTTCATCAATGACTTAGATGAGGGAATTGAAGGGGAACTCATCAAATTTGGAGATAACACCAAATTGGCAGGAGTAGCCAACACCCCAAAAGACAAACTCAAGATCCAAAAAGATCTTGACAAACTTGAACAATGGGCCCTCTTCAACAAAATGAGTTTCAATGTGGAGAAAAGCAAAATTTTACATTTAGGGAGGAAAACTCAAAGGTACAAGTACAGACTGGGCGAGACCTGGCTTAAAAACAGTAACTGTGAGAGGGACCTTGGAGTCCTGGTGGACAATCACTTGACTATGAGTCAGCAGTGTGCAGCAGCAGCCAAAAAAGCTAATACAATCCTGGGTTGTATAAACAGAGGCATAGAATCAAGATCACGTGAAGTATTAGTACCGCTTTATAAAACCCTAGTAAGACCACACCTGGAATACTGCAGCCAATTTTGGTCACCATATCACAAAAAAGATGTTGAGAGTTTGGAAAAAATTCAGAGAAGAGCAACTAAGATGATCAAAGGCCTGAATACTAAAACATTCGAAGAACGGCTGCAGGATTTAGGTCTGGCTAGTCTAAAGAAAAGAAGAAATAGGGGAGACATGATAGCAGTATTCCAGCATTTGAAGGGCTGCCACAGGGCAGCGGGAGCCAGGTTGTTCACCAAAGCACCAGAGGGAAGAACGAGAAACAATGGTTGGAAACTGAAACAACTTGGAATTAAGGAGCAACTTCCTGACAGTGAGGACAATTAACCAGTGGAATAGCTTGCCCCCAGAAATCGTGGCTGCTCCATCACTGGAGATTTTTAAAAAGAGGCTAGACAGTCACTTGTCTGAGATAGTATAGGTTCCCTTCCATATTCTATTCTATTCTATTCTATTCTATTCTATTCTATTCTATTCTATTCTATTCTATTCCATTCCATTCCATTCCATTCCATTCCATTGATAACTGGTACTGACCATGCACATTCTGCTACAGAATCATTTAACTTGGGATCTCCAGCATCCTTTCCTTTTGACACAGATCACATTCTGGAGCAATGAGCCCTGCCATTATTGTTGCTAATACATAGCATGGTTGGTTCAGGAATTCTGGGAGTTGAAGTCCACAAGTTGTAAAGGGGCCGTAGTTGCCCACCCTTGGCATAACTCTATCCAGGTCACACACTTTTCACAGGATTTGAACAAT